CAGTGTTGTCCCATAGCCACTCCTTTGTTATCTTGGCTGTGTGCTTAGGGCCGTTGTCCTGTTGGAAGATGAACCTTTGCCCCAGTCTGAGGTCCAGAGCGCTCTGGAGCAGGTTTTCATCAAGGATGTCTCTGTATTGCATTCATCTTTCCCTCGATCCTTACTAGTCTCCCAGTTCCTGCCGCTGAAAAACATCCCCACAGCATGATGCTCCCACCATGCTTCACTGTAGGGATGGTTTTGGCCATGCAGGTGATGAGCAGTGCCTGGTTTCCTCCAGACATGATGCTTGGAATTGAGGTTCATCAGACCAGAGAATCTTGTTTCTCACAGTCTGAGGACCTTCAATGCTGCAGAAATTTTCCCCAGATCTGTGCCTCGATACAATCCTGTCTCGGAGGTCTACAAACAATTCCTTGGACTTCATGGCTTGGTTTGTGCTCTGACATGCACTGTTAACTGTGGGACCTTATATAGACAGGTGTGTGCCTTTCCAAATCATGTCCAATTAACTGAATTTACCACTGGTGGACTCCAATCAAGTTGTAGAAACATCTCAAGGATGATCAGTGGAAACAGGATGCACCTGAGCTCAATTTTGAGTGTCATGGCAAAGGCTGTGAATACGTATGTACAAGTGAATGTAAAGAAAAAAAATGTTCTTTTCGTTTTTTATTTTTAATAAATTTGCAAAGATTTCAAACAAACGTCTTTCACATTGTCATTATGGGGTATTGTTTGTAGAATTTTGAGGAAAAATAATTAATTTAATCCATTTTGGAATAAGGCTGTAACATAACCAAAATGTGGAAAAAGTGAAGCGCTGTGAATACTTTCCGGATGCACTGTACAAGCTAAAGAAACCAAATTACTTAAAAGGTTTCTATTACAAAGAAGCCTGACCAGGTGTATAGGCAATACCCCAGATTACACTAAAATATACGGTTAAATGGCTGTGTGAATGAAAATTACAGTATGACACCTATTAAAACACTGTGACATCCAGTTCATTTTGCTTTTAACATCTAGATAACTAGTTTCCTGAAGGATATTTATGTTTGATTAACTAATACAGACAAACACATTTTTATCTCTGTCTTCTTACCTTTCAGGAAGGAGGTTTTTATTAATGCTAACTTAATTCCAACCACCAGGACTGCTGTTGATATAGTGTGATGGATTTCACTTCAGATGATGGTAAGAACAAGGAGTGAAACAGGGAATTTATAATCAAGTGTAGCTCCGTCAGCATAGTCCTTATCTGTTTACTGAACCTCTGTCCTGCCTTTATTTTCAACCCCCCAGTTGAGATTAGCTAGCATGTGTGATTGTTTCATTGTATCGACTGTTATGAGTTTTATTTTGAAACCTATAGCTTTTGTTTAGGGAGTGTTAAGGGATTGTTGGGGATAGATATCTCACTAAAACAACTTTGAAAGCTCTCTCTTACTTATGCAAGCACACACATGCATTTGTACACTGTGTTCCGAGAAAGACACGTCTAGCTCTTTAGAATGTTCTGTCCTGCCTCAGCACTATTTCCCAGCTACGTGTGCTGCGTGACACACGTAACATCAGGACATCTTATTTATCTCAGAAAGATCAGTTACATTTGCTGGAACAGCTGCAATAAACCTACCAATACAAATGCACACAATGTATTCGCAGGTGGATAATAATAGTTTGAATATAATACACATATACACACACACGCACACTTTTATTATTATTAGCAGTAGTTGTATTATTATACACCCAACCCAACCAAATAATAATAATAAACATTTAACAAAAGAACAATATTTTACTACTACTTCTGGCCTAATACAACTACAACTACAACTAATTAATTATTATTATTATTATTATTACTACTACTACTACTACTATTGTAATTATGATGTCTTTATGATAGTTCTTTATGCATTCATACCGTTATTTGTCCTTTTATTTGTATTGCAATGTTTTAGACCAAGCAAGAATACTTGCTTTTTTTTTAGTCACAACTTTACATGTTTAAATGTCTCCCTGATAATATTGCAGAAATCATGTAGTGTGTTTTCTATCCACTGTTTAGTATCAGAACTAGCGATTCGTGATTGAATCACTAATCGGTCAAATGGGCTTGCAAAAAAAAGGTTTGAAATTGTTTGCGGTTCAGTCTGATTCATTTTGATATAGCTAGTTCATTCACGCACTGAATCGTTTGCAGAGGTTTCTCACACCCTACGGATAATTATAAGACAGAAGAAAAAAAAAATTCTGAAAGAGGCCATATTTACCTGTAATTCATTGTATGAAACAAACTTATCGTGTGTCAGCGATGAAGCCGCTCTTTATTGCGCGCGTGCTGTGCAGCTTGTGAACGAGTAGGCTACTGCAGGTAAAGACTATTTATTGAATGAAAGGCTACAAACGCGGATTCTGACTAGAGACAGAACACTTTTGACTCATAGTATTGCTTATACGACCTCTCAAGAGCAAGACTGTGAAAACATTTATTGTCACTGTAAGGCTAAAAGCATTTCTGCATTTGACCATAGAGAGGCTCTATTGCGGTCCATACTGAAATGTTTGTTGTAATAATCCTGATAAACCAATCACAAGACTTAATTTATAGGTTTGTAGCATTATTTTTTATTATTATTATTAAAATGCATTGTAAGTCATATACATGTCTTATATAACTTTGTGTTGTTGATGTGTGCTCATTGAATGATGTGGCATACAGGATGTGTCAGAGTTGGTCAGCACACCAGGCCAAAGGATCAGGCACAACAAGAGCTGGTGGTGGAGAACAAGGAAATAACAGGCAATAACCTTCTATCCTGTGCTTATGTGAATGACGTGAGAGAGTTCATGCAAAGTCACACTTATTCACTTGACGGAAGGGGAACGGGAAACCTGTGTGAAATCACCAGCTGAAGAGTTTCTGGACGTATGACATTTGTT